CGACTGAGATGTCGTGCGATAGCTCGTGCAGCTCGTCATCGACCAGTTGAGATCGTCTCGCTCGTCGTCTTGCAGTGTCGAACGTGTCCGCCTCCTGTTCTCGTCGTTTCGAGGCGGAGATGGGATCAGCCTCGCCGTTATAGATGACACCAGGTGAAACGTTTTGGTGATGCAATCGGGAAAGAAGAAGGTGGCGAATCTTGAGTTTCTGAATCCATCTAAGGATCACATTATTCTTGGAAAAATGTTCACGAACCATCGATGAGTAGACGGATTAGGTACCGTTTGTCTGTGCAGAAGAACAATGGCAGTCGGAAATCTAGTCATTCAGCGAGGAGGTTTGGACAGCTTCAATGCAGCTGATGAGCTGAGACCGATGTTAAGCTATGGCTGAGGTCGACGTTAAGCACCATGAGATGCGACAACCGTTTGCCTTTAAATGGCGGCCTCCATTTCGACTATGTAGCGCGTGGCTCCATGCGTTTGCAGTTAAGTTCCACGGAAGCGGTGTTTTGGCCTGCCGTTTTCGTGAAATGTCTCGCTGTCGACGGAATCGTTTTCCCCAAGGAGTAGGCCATGCAAGTTGTTCTCCTCCCATGCTTCAAAGTCGCTTGCGCGCCCAGAAACTTGAACACGAGTTTCTTCAATGAAGTTTTAGCCTTAACGTTAGGCATGTGTGGGGGGTTTCCTGAACCTCCGCCTGTGTTTCGTGGTGTTGTTGCTATTGCTCAGAAATATTTATCAACCCCACGATATTCGTTCTTGCTAACCGGAGGCTGCTACGCACCGGTAGGTTGTACCTTTAAATCGGAGAAAGTAAATCGTAAATAATTTGGATACTTTATTTTTAGGAATTTCATAAATCATAAACCTAGGGAAGCTATATGGTTAAAACTTCGAGCTAGGCAGAAAATGTTCTCTCTGAGGGAGGACTTACACAAAAATATTGAAGTTTGACCTTTCCATGCTGTCTCAGAGTAGTGTGCAAATTATAATTAAGGACTTTTGTTTGAGGAGAAAGAACAGATGTCCCCCTACAAGAAGAACCTTAAATGAGATAGAAACAGCAAGATGGGAAGTGGTAAAATGTTACATGGAGTAAGAGGACTAAACTGGAAGGAATAACAAGATATGTTGAGACTAAGGAAGGGAGGTTTTATTGTACCAGTTTTACCAAATTATGAGATAGAAACAGCAAGATGGGAAGTGGTAAAATGTTACATGGAGTAAGAGGACTAAACTGGAAGGAATAACAAGATATGTTGAGACTAAGGAAGGGAGGTTTTATTGTACCAGTTTTACCAAATTACTTTAATTAAGTGTTTGGGCCTAATGAGTATACTTGTTTTAAAAATACTGTGCTTTGGGTGTATTCTATTGGAATCTTACCTTTTCAATATGATTTTATTACCTTGCACTACTCTTTGTCACATGTCATCATGATTTCTTGGCCTATTTCCTATTAATAAAAAGTAATTAGGTTTGAATCCTCTGAATCATAAACATGATATGAGATATGTTACAAGTATATTATTCTGAAGAGTGAGTAGTAGATGATGATAGATGCATGATAACCTATGTTCATAATAAATTATATCCATTTAGAACTAATCCTTCTCTCCAGATATCCTATCAAAGAGAAAGCCTTTCAATTTTCAGTCTGAAGTGATACTGATTCAAAGCCAGTCATGAGGTACTTTGACAAGGAAACTAAGGCTAATGTCAAGCCTTCACTGAAAAGGAAGCTGAAAAGACAGGCAAGGGATATTAAAAAGTTCCCCTCTGAGGGGAAGTCTCAGGAGGAAAAGGAAGAGGTGTATGTGATCGGAGGGAAGGAAACGCTGAGGAAAAGGTACAAGTTCAAGACCCGTGGGAAATTCAAAGTCACAAATATGGATGACTTCAAGGACAAAGAAGCAGAGGAGGAAGAATCCAAGGGCCCCGACCCGTTCCCCGGGCCGGCTCCCATCCCCATCAAGAAGTTCCAGCGACACAATCGAGGCGAGGGGATTCGAGTGAGAGGTGTGAAGACGAAGTTGTGGAAGAAGAAGTGGCACTTGAAAGACCAACAGATGAAATGGACGGCCGAGCAGGCGGCCAGGACAGAGATACTTCTCACCGAATCTGCAGGGTGGGTCATCGTGAGACACTGCATCAGAATTCTCTGTCTGTTCCTCATTCTCACCTGTGTAGTTCCTTTGGTGTTTTATCAGGTTTCTACAGCCTGGGAAAGGGGAAGACACTTCCCTCTATAATGTTTGTCTGTAGCGTCTTTCACACCTATAGTGGAGACGTTGATTCTCTAAACTGGACGTGGAGGGTGTCAAACCTGGAATGTCCATATAAGTAACGTAGGTTAAAAAAAAAAAAAAATCATTTGTTATTCAACTGTGACTCCATCATAATATATTGGCAAGATCCCAAGGATCAAAGAGATGTAATGTACTTTTTGTTATATTTACTCCTCCCTTTTTATATGGTTTTGTCTTCTCTTCTTGCATGGATGCTTAATGTTATAAGGAAACATTACTTACAGAAAAATATAATTTTTGGGTTGGAATGGACTGGAATGGATTAGCTGGAAGATTATGGAAAAAAGAATTCAGGCTGCACTAGAAGGAAATAGAAGCAGCAAAAAACATTTGCCCCTTTTTGTTTTTCAATAATTCTTATTTCATTTCAGCCTCTTTTGTGAAATTGGAACAGCTAAATCATCACAACAGCCTGAAATATCTCAAGTACAGATAATTCACTATCTATATATGCCAAGTATTGCTAGTTTTGAAGTCAGCAAACAATGCTAGTTTGTATCCAGCAGCATTCCAATCTCCACAAAGTCTCCACAAAGAAAGAAAACCAGTAAGTTATGTGTCTGGAATTGAACTGGAATAGCAAAGTATTTCAATTATCCAGTTGTCCTGGTGGATATAGATCACATCCATTGAGATCATATGATACCAGTTGGCCTTTTTCTTTAAGTTACTCTCCCCCTGCCACCTTCCCATGACATGACATTATTAACTCCTCACTACCATGTTTACGATAACTCTTCATCTTTTACGAAAAGTAAAGAAAGTCCTAGAGTATGTGTGCGTTACCCGCAATGAACCAGTAGCCCCCTTCCGTCCCGGTACAACGTCGGTATCTGACCGTGACCAAGAGACTACTCAACGAGATGAACGTCATGGAGTCTGTACATGATGTCCAGTGAGTTTCTGATGGAAAGAGCAACATGCCTCATTCCTTTGGCTGTGACCACTTTTCTTAGAGTGCATTTTTCATCTATCCAAGGTGGTTTCACAATGAGAATATGTATGCTGTGGCCCAGAAGGAATGGGTGTATGTGTATGACAGCAAGGGTGTTGAACTTCATTGCCTGAAGGCCTTGGATCGTGTGCTTCGCATGGAATTCCTCCCTTACCACTTCCTCCTTGCCGCCTCGGTCTGTTCCTTAAAGCCAATGTCTGTATTGAGATTGATACAATGCCCTTCATTGGCACATGATACCCTGAAGGAGATCGAAAAGCTTGTTCTTGTTGACTGTCTTCTTTTTCTCAAAGATAGCAATGCATCATTATAATATCTTGGTCAAATTTTCAGTTTCCTTTCTATCTCTATTTTATTTACATTTATGTCCCTTTTTTTCCCCCTTGAGCAGATACTCGCTCCTATGAACTCAACCGACCTACATAGTTATCCCTTTTACCACAGGGTCAAGTTGAGAGCTAGAGGTGTGTTCGCGGAGCTACAGGAGACGGTCTTGGGAGTCTTACGACAATAAACGGATGGACATCCCAATGGTAAAGTAGGCCTAACATAATGTATCCTGGTTTTCTGCTCTCTGATGGAGAAAGAAAATGTTGGGCATTGAGGGGATGTTCATCTGCTGCAGGGACCATGAGCATGTGGACCCCAAACGTGAAGGAGCCAGTGGCCAAGATGTTGTGTCACCTCACAGCCGTCAAAGCCGTTGCTGTGGACCCCAAGGGAATGTTAGTCTGCTTTCAATTATTTTTTTTATTATTTGGTCAGCCTATATGGTTCAAAATGCAGTATGGAGACCTAAACATGATATTTTTTTAAGTGGATATTTTAATTTTAGCACTGGAAAAAAAAACTGCATTCATCCTAACTTTATGACCAAACTGTATATACAAAATATGAGTAGGTCAGGAGCAGTCCAATCGTGTTTAGCAGATTGGAGTATGTCATTGAGAAGGGTGGGCAAGTCAAATAATGAGAAAGTATTATCAAATGAATGGATGTGCTTGCTAACTCCTTAGACATAGTTTTAGCTTCAACTGAATTGGCCTGCATTGATTTTTTTAAATTATGAATGCACCTTCAATGATACCACAAGGACCAGGGAGGGTGCATTCTATCAAAAATCAGTGCACCTACTCTTGAGATTCTGATATTGTTTGAGCTCTGGACTGAGAGCTTGCAGGATTGTGTAGATCATTAAAAATCTTTAAAATCTTGTATGGTTTTTTGTTGATATCCATTTTGAGATCTAGATTAGCTATTCCTGAACTATGGTATGTGTACCACTGAACGCTGGAAGGTTTGGGAACCACTGATCTAGAATAGTTCACTTTCAGGACACTGCATAGTTTGACTTAAAGTGAAATTCATCCCACATGCATGTGGTCTTGTTAGACTTTCTTAACTTTCTCATGAGGTTTACTATAAATGAAGTCCCTTATTCATAAAGGGACATAATGTATCATTCATAAGTTGAATGTTGAAATTTCTCCTTGCCTTCACCAATAATCTTGAAATTGTTGCTGGAAACTTCATTTGAGAGGTTTAAAATTGTGTATTGCTGCATGTGTCCCTAGCTTGTTCCACCTAACACACTAAGACTATACGGAAATACCTAGATACACGTTATCCATGTACCGTTGCAGCCCGTGTCTGGCTTCGGACTTCTAGACCCTACAAGCTTGTAAGTTCACAGAGGTTTTGATATTTCAGGGAGGAACGGGGGCATCTGAATTGCAGTTCAGTCAAAGGGGCCTCCTGGCTGCATCTCTTGGTAATGTTGTTGAGGTAAGTCTGTGCTGGTGTGTGAAAGGGAGTCTTTTGTTGTAAAACTTAGATCCATCAGAGAAGGTATTTTTCCTGTGTGAAGGTGTGGGCAAAGTGTTGTGCTGCCTACTCCATTTTTATGTAAGGTCTGAAAGTAGGCTGCACAAGTCCAGAGTTTCACTGTGACCACTGGCTAGTGGCTTCCTTATGAACCTCTCTGCTTTTATTGAACTCTGGTGGTGACAGGTGGGGATTGGTGTACATATAGAGGGTAGTTCAAGAAAAGTTGCCACTAACTGGGAATATGCAGGCAAGCTCAGATTATTAGATCCTACTTTAGTAGCAAGTTTTACATGCAGAATGAAATTACCTGCATCAGTGTACATTTAAATGAAAACTAACCATAAATAAATGAATGATATTGTAATTGAATTTAAATTTTGAATTTTAAACTTCCATGGCAATGTTTTCCCATCACAGTAGTAACATCTTGGACCGCACTGTATAACAACCACAAATTATTTCATTACCTAGCAATGGAATGGTGGTATCATGCCTCAGCCTTATCATGAATATATGTTTACTTTACAGATCTACAAGGACAGCTGTAGAAGGACAGTGAGAAAGCCATACCTGTGTCACCGTCACAAACACGTTGTGACAGGATTAGAGTTCTGCCCATATGAGGATGTGCTTGGAGTTGGCCATTCACAAGGCTTCATGTCTCTTCTCATTCCTGGTCTGTTTTAGTCCCATGCAAACATCTTATTGAAGATGGTCTGAATGTTGTTAGAGGGAATAGCTCTCATATGGGTGGAGCTACAACTAAATCTTTTATTAGTCTGGATGACGGTAGAAGACCGAGTTAAAGGACTTACCAGACGTCATCCTTGGTTATAGACTGTTTACATTAAGTCCAACCTTAACAATCTATAACATGTTTTCAATATCTGGGCCATTCCTGAAAATTCTTTAAGCATAGTGTATGGTGATGGTTGATGAATGTCAACTGTCATTATTGGGCAGACATTGATCTTCCTTTTGATCAGTCATGGACTATATTATCACTGGTTACTATCTTGATTTTCTTATAATTTTAAATGCAAAGTCTAAAATTAAAGATGAAATAAAGTAAATGCCAGTTTAATTCACTTCATTCCTGCCTTCTCCAAGACAAATTGGATGAGTGAATGTGTATCATGGTATTTATGGCAGAAGGTTTTCCTTGCCATCGAAACAGGAGCGGGAGAACCCAACTTTGATGCATTGGAAAGCAATCCATTCCAGTCAAAGGCTCAAAGGCGAGAAGCAGAGGTCAAGGCTCTGTTGGAGAAGGTCAGTCATTGTTTCAGAGATTGTATCATCTCTAATGCATATTACTATCCATTTCATGCTGCTGCATGGAACCTCACCATGACAGTAAAGGTTCAGCAATATTGTAAATAACTGTGTTGCACAGTGCCAGAATAGCATTAGAACTTGTTCTCATTGGTTGATGCTTAGCAGAATGAACAGATAGGATTTGAGGATCACCTTCATTGAGGTGTCTTAGGGAAGTACCTATGTTGATTCAGAGGTCAAGTGAAGTACAAAATTTTAAAAAATTAGAAGTTTCTATCTCTAAACTTTCAATCCCAAGTCCTTGTTGTCTTTTGGGCTGTGGATATTTTATTCACTTATATGAGAGTCCAACTACAAGAGAAACGTATCTATGACGGTACAGTCGTTGTAGTCGTGTGTTATTCTGAAAAACTCACGTACAAACGGTATCATCGTATACTCGTCATCCAAGATATTAACACAACAACCCGTAAACGTCATCCAACCGGATTTGATCACTTTGGACCCGGGAGAGTTGGGGGAAGTGGATACTCCAACACTAGGAGAGAAGATGGATGCAAAGAAGAAGCTTCTTTACGTCAAGGTCCCCGAGATGAATCTGACCCATCGGAAAAGAAAAGGGAAGGTCGGCAAGGTCAGGGAGGAAGTCAGGCAGAGGCTCATCAAGGAAAAACGCCAGGCTGTTCCAGAGGAGAAGAAGGAACCAGAGGAGACGATCTTCCACCCTCTCAATCGCTTCCGCCCAAAGTCCTCCTGATAGTGCTCTTTCTTTTATGGTTACTGCCATGCGATTCTGTTTTTTCTTTGAGGATTATGTAATGAAGTTTGATGGATTTATGCCAAAGGTGAAGTTTTTTTTATTAGTGTGATGATATATGAAAAGCCACTTCAATCACTGTCAGAATTATTAGCCATATTCAAGGTAGTGCCTCCATCATTGAGTATTTATGAATGGTCTCCAAGAGCCTCTTTCAATTCATATCAAATGACTAGACGAAGCATTTCCTATCAGCTCTTCGGTTTAAGTCAACCGCTAAAGGTGTTTGGTCCACTTTGTTTTAAATTATGCTTTTTTAAGCCACCGTTTTTCGGGAGAACGCTGATCTTTTATCTCTAACCTCTTTTTGCAGGTAAATTTTAACGACCAAACCCAACTCAGCCGTGAGTGCTGTTTTCCCAGCAGGAAAGAGACGCAACAATGACCCTTTTCACCAGGTTCTCGTTCTTCTCATCTTCCTTCTCACATTCTCTTAGCCCTTCTTCCAATCCTCTTCATAGAAAGAGTGGAAGGTGAAGATGAAAGTTGTGCGGCGCGTGGAGCTCCACCCCCACGTCCACCAAGAAGCTTTTTATCTCCCCGACCAACTAAGACTCCTCATTCCGAGTTTTTTTTTTTCATTTGTACAGGTTATCAGCTACCGTTGCGTGAAGTGGAAAGCTCCGTCAAAAATGCCATTGCTTGAGTGGGCAGCCCTTTTCATCTGATAATGGAATGTTAATTATGAGCATTCATTTAACCACGAAACGATTTCCATGACTACTCAATCCCGAGAATTGATAGAGCTCTAAAACATCTGAAGCGTGTCAGAATTGTTTCACGTTTGTGTCATCCTCCCCCAACCATCGCTGGAGGGAAATTTTTATGGTCGTTAAAAAAAAAAAAGTGACAGGGTTAAGGTCGTCCGCAACCGGAAGATCCCCAAGTCAATCGCCAATATTCCAGGAAAAAATATTTTTAAAAATTGCAACCCTGATAAGTCCCATTCGAAAGAACAATGCTAATTGTTCTAGACAATAAGTCACACTAACTCGCTGCATGTCCCACCCTATAGCACTTCTTCCAGCAAGAACTATCAACTTCATCGGCGTCGTCTGCTCGATAACGTTTTTATGAATAACAAGTACAATTTCGTTCATGATTCCGCTGACTTATCAATAACAGGAGAGATGGTAGATACATGAAAATGATAAATTGATGCCTCAAGGCAACTGGGAATATTCTGATTCAAATACGCATTGCATTCCAGAGCCAGAAATGAAAGGTTTTTCAGAGCGGAGTTCAAGAATTCCAGCCATGTTCTCTACCGAGGTGCGACTCTGGGTGAAAGCGAGCAATAATTACAGGCGATAAAACTATAGAAGCTGGCAAAAAGTTCGCCAAAGATCGATGAATATCATCTAGAGATGAGAACTATAATACTTTTTGCGCTCTGCTTTTAGACGTCGAAAATAAGTTACAAGCCATTTTCGAAGTGAAGAATGCCGACGGAAAAAAAGAAGAGATTGCAGTCTCGGCGAGTAGGAATCTGTTTTCATCCATGAGAAATGGGTCGCAATCGGAGACATGTGGCTTCGGCAATGAAGTCCTTTTCGACATTTCCCCTGAAAATAAAACGGAATGCGATACGCGGTGACTACATCGTCCGCGATGCCTCGAGATGGGGGACAGTAAAATTTTGTTCGAAACCCAGATCGTGGGGGCCATAGTGAATATGAAGCGGATGGAAATTGCAGTCGCTGAAGTTGAAATGACATGAATCTCTGCTGCGACATGGACGGTTGGCGCACCTATTTGGTTTCTCTACGGACAGTTATGTGACATTCGAGGGGAAGGGCTATTTGATTATTCAAATTAGGAAATCATAATGGACAGCGAAAAGGGCCTGTAGTTCCACCCAAAATTCTTTCAACACTAGCAAGATCCGGCTGAAAAGCGCACCTTAGTGCCGAAACCCAATTTCCTGTATAAATTTAAATCGCCGATTATCCACCTCGTCTTCAAAATAACCAATACACGCAATGATCGACTCCAGATATAAAGGAAAAAGTGATCCTCCCATGCACAGTCTGCTGGACATTCATCTTCTACAGGCCGAAAATTTCGATTTCTCCATGTGAAGCGCCTATATTAACTTTCCTTTATGAAAAACAAAGTGATGCCGAAGATAAGTTACTAACCTCCTAAAGGAAAGTTGCAAATGGTACAGATAAAGGAATCCATGAAATACAGGTCGACAGTGACTCCGAATCGTCATTTAAGTGAAAGTCCAGTTAAACGCAGACGTTTGTCAGTCGTTAGTTCACGCGTATGAGTAGANAGTAGCATATGAGCAGTAGGTTCTATAATTGTGTTGTTGGGCATTTGCAGATCCAACCGGATTTGATCACTTTGGACCCGGGAGAGTTGGGGGAAGTGGATACTCCAACACTAGGAGAGAAGATGGATGCAAAGAAGAAGCTTCTTTACGTCAAGGTCCCCGAGATGAATCTGACCCATCGGAAAAGAAAAGGGAAGGTCGGCAAGGTCAGGGAGGAAGTCAGGCAGAGGCTCATCAAGGAAAAACGCCAGGCTGTTCCAGAGGAGAAGAAGGAACCAGAGGAGACGATCTTCCACCCTCTCAATCGCTTCCGCCCAAAGTCCTCCTGATAGTGCTCTTTCTTTTATGGTTACTGCCATGCGATTCTGTTTTTTCTTTGAGGATTATGTAATGAAGTTTGATGGATTTATGCCAAAGGTGAAGTTTTTTTTATTAGTGTGATGATATATGAAAAGCCCCTTTAATCACGGTCAGAATTATTAGCCATATTCAAGGTAGTGCCTCCATCGTTGAGTATTTATGAATGGTCTCCAAGAGCCTCTTTCAATTTATATCAAATGACTAGGGATGAAGCATTTCCTATCATCAGCAGAAGCCAAATTCAGTTGGCGATTTCCACAAACCAGGTGAAACAAAATTTAATACGAAAAAATTCGGTGGCAAAAAGCCCTCTTGCGACTAGAAAATAGAGATTGGAGAAAAACGTCCATTTAAAATGCGACCAAACCCAACTCAGCCGTGAGTGCTGTTTTCCCAGCAGGAAAGAGACTCAACAATGACCCTTTTCACTAGGTTCTCGTTCTTCTCATCTTCCTTCTCACATTCTCTTAGCCCTTCTTCCAATCCTCTTCAAAGAAAGAGTGGAAGGTGAAGGTGAAAGATGAAAGTCGTGGGGCGCGTGGAGCTCCACGTCCACCAAGAAGCTTGTCATCTCCCCGACCAACTAAGACTCCTCATTCCGAGTTTTTTTTTCATTTGTACAGGTTATCAGCTTACGTTGCGTGGAAGTGCAAAGCTCCGTCAAAAATGCCATTGCTTGAGTGGGCAGCCCTTTTCATCTGATAATGGGATGTTAATCTATGAGCATTCATTTAACCACGAAACGATTTCCATGACTACTCAATCCCGAGAATTGATAAGATCTCTAAAACATCTGAAGCGTGTCAGAATTGTTTCACGTTTGCGTCATCCTCCCCCAACCATCGCTGGAGGGAAATTTTTATGGTCGTTAAATAAAAAAAAGTTACAGGGTTAAGGTCGTCCGCAACCGGAAGATCCCTAAGTCAATCGCCAATATTCCAGGAAAAAATATTTTAAAAAATTGCAACCCTGATTAGTCCCATTCGAAAGAACAATGCTAATTGTTCTAGACAATAAGTCACACTTTCTCGCTGCATGTCCCACCCTATAGCACTTCTTCCAGCAAGAACCATCAACTTCATCGGCGTCGTCTGCTCGATAACGTTTTTATGAATAAAAAGTACAATTTCGTTCATGATTCCGCTGACTTATCAATAACAGGAGAGATGGTAGATACATGAAAATGATAAATTGATGCGTCAAGGCAACTGGGAATATTCAGATTCAAATACGCATTGCATTCCAGAGCCAGAAATGAACGGTTTTTCAGAGCGGAGTTCATCAAGAATTCCAGCCATGTTCTCTACCTAGGCGCGACTCTGGGTGAAAGCGAGCAATAATTACAGGCGATAAAACTATAGAAGCTGGCAAAAAGTTCGCCAAAGACCGATGAATATCATCTAGAGATGACAACTATCATACTTTTTGCGCTCTGCTTTTAGACGTCGAAAATAAGTTACAAGCCATTTTCGAAGTGAAGAATGCCGACGGAAAAAAAGTGAGAAGAGATTGCAGTCTCGGCGAGTAGGAATCTGTTTTCATCCATGAGAAATGGGTCGCAATCGGAGACATGTGGCTTCGGCAATGAAGTCCTTTTCGACATTTCCCCTGAAAATAAAAACGGAATGCGATACGCGGCGACTACATCGTCCGCGATGCCTCGAGATCGGGGACAGTAAAATTTTCTTCGAAACCCAGATCGTGGGAGCCATAGTGAATTTGAAGCGGACGAAAATTTCAGTCGCTGAAGTTGAAATGAAATTTTCATTCTCTGCTGCGACATAGACGGTTAGCGCATCTATTTGATTTCTCTACGGACAGTTATGTGACATTCGAGGGGAAGGGCTATTTGATTATTCAAATTAGGAAATCATAATGGACAGCGAAAAAGGCCTGAAGTTCCACCCTTAATTCTTTCAACACTAGCAAGATCCGGCTGAAAAGCGCACCTTAGTGCCGAAACCCAACTTCCTGTATGAATTTATCGGATATGATGGATAATCGCCGATTATCCATCTCGTCTTCAAAATAACCAATACAAGCAATGATTGACTCCAGATATAAAGAAAAAAGTGATCCTCCCATGCACAGTCTGCTGGACATTCATCTTCTACAGGCCGAAAATTTCGGATTTCTCCATGTGCAGCGCCTATATTAACTTGCCTTTATGAAAAACAAAGTGACTGATGCCGAATATAAGTTACTAACCTCCTAAAGGAGTCAACGTTTACCATGTCTATTTCCTTAGGTACTTTATGTCCAGCTGTCACTGAGGCTTAGCAGTAAATTCACTTTCAGGTCAATTTGCGTCTGCAAACAGTCAGCAATCAAGTGCGCATACTCATCTGGAAGACGTCTAAGTTTTCTTGAATCAATACATTTGTTATTTGATTCACGTAACTATTTCCAGACAAAAGAAAACAACCTACGAGATACACTCAATGTCATACATCCTTGATGGATGATTACGTGCGTGCAGGCAATCAGCCTTCACATATCAACGCCGATCAACATAAGAAATGAATGATGAAAACCCATATAATATATTCATTCGTTTTCATTTCTCATTGATGTATCACGTGCAAGATGAAATATCGTGAGGGTTTTAGGGAAGCCAGAGGTGCATCAGAGGACTCCCGCCTTCCACCGAAAGGTTGAGGGGAACCATCTTCATTTTCCTGGATCCCTAGAACCAACTCACATGCTGTACGAAGTGACCCGAAGCTGATTCTCGATCATCTGAAACAGCTCGGCCGGCTTGGGAAGGCGACCGGACTCCAGCTTCGACCAGACGGGGACGTCGTTCAGGGTCACCTCGAACGCTCCAGTGGAGACCAATTGGGTCTCGATGAAGTTGCCGATGAAGAATGTCATGAGGATCGCATATATCTTGGAGTTGACAAAGAACTGATACCAGTTGGGGGTGGGGATGCCGAGGAAGGGGAACGGATTGATGCCCGACAGGGTCATGATGATGATCGCAAACTTGATCATCGTCATCAGTCGGGCCAGGTACATGCGAATCGTAGGAGGCGGGAAGTAGTCTCCCTCGATGACCAGTTGCGGGTACCTCTCGTGGAGGAGCTCCGTGTACTGCTCAAAGAGGCGCTTGTAGCCTCAGGACACGCAGTACATGACGCGCAGGGTGGGACCCATGAGCCGGTTCAGGTTGGAGGAGAGGGGTCGACGCGGGACCTCCACGTTCGGTTCCAGGTCCGGTTTCGCGTCGTCGTCCTTCGAGTGGGGGACGTCCTCCCCAAACAATCCTAGGTCCTTCAGCGTGAATAGTACAGATATTCCTACTATACACAGGAAGACTGTCCACTGCACACCTTCTGCCATCTTAGCCCCTGTCCTCACATCATATCACTAATAAAGACACGGCAACATAGATCTGCATGGACAGGCAATAAAACTTTCTTCAATTTCACTTCGACCTGTA